TGTTAGTCCCGAAATGACCTAGTTTGTGTCGAGTGGACGTTAAACCCCATTTCTCTCTCTCTCTTTGTTGTATAATTTTCCAATGTTAGATTTTAGATAGCAGATAATGAAAGTAAACAAACCTACCACCTCATATAACATTCTTGCTTCACCCCGTATTTGTATTGCATAAATAAATATGTGGCAACTCCACCAGCATTAGTAGGACAAAAAAATGAAATGGGGTTTAAAGTCTAGCCGTTCTACACAAAATGGAATATTGAAGATGGGTTTGCCCCATGGAGTGTGACGTGGTGGACATCTTGCCAGGGCAGTGGCTTTTCCGGCAACACTTTATCGAATTCTAACTGTAAAAGGTTCCTTTGTTTACATGCCAACGTATCGACGGATAATCAGTTTCTGCTGTTTTTGTCAGGGCCTTGCACAGAAATTGGCAACTAAGAAACAGTTAAACATTTCCCACGTGGTTTCATTACGGTTTTCAACCCTAATAGCAGCATGCGATTTTGATTATGGCATATTGCTCAACCAGTGTCAAACACATACTTCGGTTCAAATAACGTACAAATACGTAGTCCAAAATATCTAACTAAAGCGATTGATCCTTGGAATGACCTCTCACTATGGCAGCCAAGATTAAAAAAAACAGTGCGCTAGCCAATGGAAACAGTGCAGACATCTTCACAGTGGCACTGTGGGTGTAATTATAATTGAAATGGAATGGAATATGATTTAACGTCTTACTGGCCTAATGGAAATGGGCATACTTCATGCCCATACAGTGTGCTATGAGGGTAAATTTTGTCGAACGTCTGAGCTACGGTCTACTCTTCTATCGAATTCAAAATGCTAAGAGATCTCTTACGTACACGGAACCTCGACTAGACATCTGTCCTTGTCGGGCCCTCCGTCCTGAACCACTGACAAGGGGAAACCAAGCCGGAAAATCCCGACGAACTTTCTTGGAAAACACCGGGATCGAACCCGCGACCTCCAGGTTATAGAACCAGTGTCTTACTCACTTAGCCACCGTGGCCCCCGATAAGAAATGGACTGAAATGAAAGGGTGAGGGGGGGGGGACCACGGGCAAATCTCGAAAAACGTTCTCAGCCAACACAGTGATCGAACACGAGCAATGTGACTCCTAGTAACCAGTGATGAAGTTACTGCCGCGGTACAAAATAAACCGAGTAACATTTGGCGGAATTTCTAGCATTCTTGTTTATCTACGGCTCAAGTCTTGTGTGTTCTTTTGAGGGAAACATAACCTTGACCGGGTTACGTTCGCAGAATAGAGGTCGGCAGCAATATAAGGCCAAAGCAAAAATTACATGTTTTTACAATCTTTGAGTCAAGTTGCATGGTTCTCGCTTATACGTGACAAGGAGTTGGGTCACATGTCAGGATTTTCTCCGGGTCCTCCGGTGTACTCGGTAACATAATCAGATCATCTAATAACTGTGGATTGGACTTCTTTAATTCAGCAAGACGGTAACAAACATTAAACTACACTACATGTATAACAACCAATACATATTATAATATTGTAATCTTTACGGCCATCGTCTTAATTCACGTCTGCCTCCATGGTTCTGTGTTGAGCTACTCAACTCAACTAACTGAACTGACTTCATCAGAAACCTAAACCAATTTATAGGTAAGGTATGAAGTGACATATTATTGATATTGAATAAAAAGAATTATGATGACAGCTGAATACTAATAAATAAATAAATTAAAGGTCGGCGGGTTCTCCGACATGGCCATTTCAATATGGCAGTAGCTTATCTTAACAATAATAATATTGATCTTGGTAATAGCGGTTAGGTCAAAAAGGACAGCAGAGACTTCACCCTTTGTTACAACTCCTACAGCTAAAGACCCCTGCGCCCAAGTGAATTAGTGAAATAAAATTGTCGAGTAGATCTCTCCCCCCCTCTCTCTCTCTCTCTCTCTCTCTGGTATTATAAATGACACGATAAAACATTTTAATAGGAAGGCAATCCCCCCCCCCCTCTCTCTCTCTTTCTCGGGCATTTAAATTGACACGACAACCGCGCGGGTTGAACTCCTCTCTTGGATATTTAAAATGACATAACATAACATGTTAATAGGAAGGAAATCTAAGAAATTGTGTTTATCACGTGACTTGACGTGGGGGAATCCATTTTTGTCTTGTATAAGTCGTTAGTCGCTGTTGATTTACCATAAATACAGAAGCCTACGTAAATTCTTGGATTATGCTCTGCCAACTTTTTTCTGCCGTTTAATCTCAATGTTTTCACAACCGCTATACATTAGATCACACTTATGTCACGTGGGCGCCCCATTGGTGTTTTGTTAGTGAATCAAGTATCTTTGGGTGTCTCTACTTTCCATATATACCAAATGTGCCAGACTTTTATTGGAAATAACTACTCAATAAATACTTTCGTGAGAATGTATCTCTAATTCAAAAACCCAACGAATATCAAAAAAAAAAACTAAAAAAAATCCCCAACATTTTCCTGCCATATCTATTTTTGTGACCAATTAACCTTAGACACGTGTGTTTTTTTTGTGTTGTTGTTTTTTTGTTATTGTTTTTTGTTGGTTTTTTTTATGTGTGTTTTTAGCCTAAAGTGCAATACCAGAGAATGAGTATCGATGTTATTAATAGCGTTTGTTATTAACTTGCAGCGGGCCAGTACACAGGTCTAAAAATGGAATTATTTCCTGCCACAGTGGAGGTTGTACTCTTAGGATATCCAACACACTATGGTAATTAAGTCTAGATTCAGTCAGACGCTGTTCATTCTTAGATGAAAAATCTACAAATCTACGCTGTTCGCCCTTCAATAATAAATGTACAGAAGTTCAAAATAAAATATACTGGTTTAAATTAATCTTAAATTAATATATGAAATTATATCGGGCTTAACTTCCTGCTTGTCTACGTCAGCTGGGTTTATGAAAAGGGCATACGCCATACAGTGTGTAATTAGATAAATATATGATAGCTCGGGCAACCTTTTATTTCGTATTCCGGCTGTTATGGGTTATTTTACATCCAAATTATATATAGTTTTAAAAAATGTATAGTTTTAAAATAATCAAATTAGACACCTAGTTTAATAACTAAAATTATCGTGCCCCAAAGTATTAACCAAACAAATTGCTTATCTCTGCTTACCCTAAGCAAAACATTCGCATCTTCGAACTCCGTCAAGGCATTCACCTAATGAATGCCTACACCAAGTTTCAACATTCTATCTCTATTAGACGGAGGGAGAGTTATTGTATTCCAAAATCCCAATCAATCACTTTGATTATCGCTCTGTTTACCCTAAACAGAACATGCTCATTATCGAACTTATTCAAGGTATTGATGTAATGAAACTATACACCAAGTTTCATCACTCTCACTTAATTAAAACTAAAGTTATCGTGTCCCATACCATCAGCCAATCAAATTACCCTAAGCAGAAAATGCTTCTCTTCGAACTCCATCAAGGCCCTCGCCTACTAAACACTTTCACCAAGTTTGAACCTTCTACCTCAATTAGAAGCAGAGTTATTGTGTCCCAAAACAGTGCGACGGACAGACAGACAGACCTATTTTAATAGTCCACTGCTTTCGAAGGGCGGGGGATAAAAATCATATGGTTAAATCATAGACCTTATAATACATGTAGTTTTAGCTCCGTGGTTAAATGATAGGAAAGCGAAACACTTTTAGTATACGCTCACAAGCCACGTCCTCAAAATAACTCCCCATTCCCATTCATTAAACAATGTTATGTAATCATTCTAGAGTCGGTTTTCACCCCTTATTTATTTTCTGTGTTCTATTCGTTATCTCATCACTGAAGACGCAACCACATCTCCAGTGGTTAAAAAAAAACTGGAATTAATTTGACTCCCATGTCCATGGTTAACCGTGGAATATTATAATAATGATGACCTGTGTTCACTGAAAATCCCGTCTTCATTAGTCAAGTCGGAGCAAAACAGTAGAACGTTAACCCCCCCCCCCCATTCCATTTCACTTCGTTAATAGTTACTAGACTTGAAGCATTCAAATATCGACATTAGCGATTCCAAAATACCGCGGCACGCGTTATGGCTGGATGAAGCCTTCGCTCTCACATCACTCTAGTGCTGAAAAATCTACAACCGTCAACTCTGGTTAAAGCGAGGATTGTGTTCATATTTTGTCTTTGCCTATGAATGCTCGGGAGTGGACTGCCCAAGCGATCTTCTGGAATTGTTTGTCCCATCTGGACCGCTTCGAGCAATTAATAAAACAAATGGGATTCTACGATGGGGGGTAGAGTCATCTGGTGGCTGTTCTTGCCAAGTGGAATAAAAACTAACTTTAAACCAGGCCCAGTATATTTAAATATAACACGAAACAATATCTGTTTGAACCAATTTCTCATACGCCATGGGCAGTTTTCGTGAATTTACTTTAGCGCTTAATGAATATGGAGATATTATTACATTACACTGTTCCCAGAATAAAAATACAAAAGCAAAAAGTGCAACAAAGATTGTAATTGCTTCAGTTGCAACAAAATTTGGCATTCATGTTTGATGTGACTCCCGTTTTTGTGCCTCAATATTTCATTGTTGTTGAAGATTTTGACTTACTCATTAGTTTTAATCTTAAACCCCTAACCCCGATTTTACAGGTTTTAATCTTAAATACCCGATCCTAACTCTAACCCTAATCCTAAAATGTACAAGTGATGGAATGTAAAAGTGATGGAAATAGAAAAGAGAGTCGGATCAAACATGATCGCCCGAAATTCTAAACTATTCTATTACATGCCATTATGTCATTTATTTAAAATAATAATATATATTTTCCGTATGAGGTTTCGTATGAGATGTGATCTATATACACGTATATTTATATATTACAAAAAAAATCACAAGCCAAGTTTAATTCACCAAGACACAAAAAAAAGAAAAGAAAGAAAAACTTAAAACAAATTAAAAATAAAAATAAACTTACCAGCAATGAGGGTTAGCACCAGTAAAACATTCATGATGAAAAAAATATGTAGAAAGCGAGTGAAATAAATTTCCCGTTTAAACTCCAAGGAATGTAGAAAACCTCAACGGCTTTGCACGGCTCTATTATAACTGACACCCGCCTTATCCCGCGTTTGGTTTTATCTATCGAGAAGTACGGGGACCTGTTAGTGCCATACACCGATTTATACATTTTTCTTGAAGTTTACCTCGCAGTGAAAACTGCGATAAATAAAAAAAAAACATGAAAAACCTTTCCACCGCGGTGGAAACATTTTCTTCGCGTTGTAAATATTTTCTCCGCGGTGGAAAGGTTTTTCATGTTTTTTTGATGAAAGGGTCTGTCTGAGCGACAAAATGGCCGCCCTTTGTACGCAAATTGTGTAAAAGTATGTAATACGAAGGTTGTGGAACCTCTAGAGGTCACAATTTTTATCACAGTTTTCATTGCGATTTCTCATATGAGGTAAATTTCAAGAAAAATGTATAAATCAGTGTATGGCACTAACAGGCCACCGTAGAGAAGAACTTGATATTAGAGACTACACTCTCCGCCACCTTGATATCGGAGACTACACCACGTCAGTTTCGCTAAGTTGACCAGCAGTAAATACTCGCTTGATTGATATCCAGGGTTAGCATGCTAAAACAACACTTTGTTTCAAACATAATGTTTAAACTACATGTAAAAAAATACATAGGAAATATTAGCCCATGTTATTATTTAAACGTTTCAACACAATTTAGCCAATGCAATGCCCCGTATTATGAATACTAGAGATCCATGTTGAACTTAAAAGATACATACTGACTGGTCAGACAGTTTACATAACTATTTTAACCAATCAAACATATTTGAATAAAAAAACAATTGTTAGAACTAACCATATGACTAATCTTTGAATGATCAAAGTAGGATATTTCTACAATATTGCATGTGGTCATAATTTTAAAGGGACAATCTCTGTTGTAATTTGTGCCGGATTTAAATGAAATGAAATGAAATGGGGTTTAACGTCCTACTCTTCTGCACCTAACCTGGGCTAATTGAAGACGGGCATACGCCATACAGTGTGCTATGAGGGAAATTTTGCCCGGGCAGCGGCGCTACGGCCTACTCTAATATCGAATTCCAACTGCCAAGGGATCTTTTACGTGCACGCCAATGTGTACACGGGACCTCGGTTTTTCGTCCCATCCGAACGACTAGGCAGCTGTCCTTGTCAGGCCCTCCATTCTGCATCACTGACAAGGGGAAACCACGCCGGAAAATCGAGATGAACTTTCTCGGCCAATGCAGGGGTCGAACACCCGACCTCCAGGCTAGCGAGCGAGCGCCTTACCCACTTAGCCACGTGATCTCCCGTGCCGGATCTAAACACAATTACAGAGAACAGTTGGTTCAGCAAGGACTTGTTTATTTTATCAAATTTTCTGTACAGTTTTGTTTGAGAGTTTCATGTTAAATAAAGTTCATATAATTTGATATAGCCAATTATTATTAACAACCAGGGGCCTAATTTTAGTAATTTGATTGGATGATATTAGATTGATTTTAGTGCTTAGCTAATCAAAATTGAAGTATCTACTAAAATTGCGATTTTATCTTTAGTTAAGATTTCAAGAAACAGGGCCCAGGCCCGTAACCAGTTGGGGGTGGGGGGCGTGGTTTCCCTCTGTCGGTAGTGAAAGACAAAAGTCCTGGCAATGAATAGTGTCTAGTTGTATAGATGGGACAAAACATAAACTCCTGTGTACACATTGGCGTGCACATAAAAGAACCCTTCACGGTTGGAAATCGATAAACAAATGCCACGGTCCATAGAAAATTACCGTCATAGCACTCTGCATATCGTATGCCTTTTTTCAATAGTCCAATTGGTGCTGCAAAGTAGGAAAATTAAATGCTCCGACTGGGCTAATGAAGACGAGCATACGCCATACAGTGTGCCATGGGGGGGGGGGGATTCAGTCTAAAGAGCGGCGCTTCCGGTCTACTCTTATTTCGAATTCGAACTGTCAAGGGTTCTTTTACCCACTTGTCAATGTCTACACGGAACCACAACATATGAATGTAGATTCATTGATGTCCATTTTTTTAAGGGACAATAACACTCTTGCTGGCTTGACAGCTCCAGAAAATAAAAAAATAGCCTTATTCTAAGTACTAGATGTGTTAGTGTCCTACCTGTTGTGTAAATTATCCATTAAATCCTATTTTATTTGTCCAGAGGATTCAACAAAATATTTAAATCCAAGTCACATTTGAAAAGATTTACGTCAGGCTTTTCAAATCATTGTGTTGAATTTTTCCAATTTTTTAAATTAGGTGTGTTAAGATGAAATTTGTATCATCAATTAATTGGAATATTGTAAAATAGTACAATTTGTTGACCAGAATAAAGATTGGGACATATTATTCAGTTACAACAAGCGTGGTATTGAGCCTTTAATGTTTACTATTTCTCTGTTATTATATGTAATGTTTGATTGATTGATTATGTTTTTTTTTATATTTTCTTATATTATTACAATACAAATCTTACCTACATACCAACCTCGTGGGTTTTCTCCGGGTCCTCCGGTTTCCTCCCACTGCTAAAGACCCCTATGCGCAAGCGAATTATTGAAATAAAATTAAACCATATGTTAGTCCCGAAATGACCTAGTTTGTGTCGAGTGGAAGTTAAACCCCATTTCTCTCTCTCTCTCTCTCTCTCTCTCTCTCTCTCTCTCTCCCTCTCTCTTACCTACATAAATTTTATGGTATTGTTTCTATATTTATCAGTTTTTATTAAAGATACATGATGGGAGAAGAGCTGACAGTTCTCACTATAATAGTTCAAAACTAGATAATGTAAAGGGAATTTGCTGAAAAATTCAGTCAAATTGATCCCCTATGAACCGAGAATTTTGCGATTGAATTTTCGGCCTAGCCTCAATCATCATTACTATAGTCGGTGCGATAAAAAAAACATAGTCTCGATTATCCATTTCATGATTTAATCATGAATGAAAGTTGAGCAGTAAATCGGATCCTAATCCAGTAAATATCGATGGCATCGAGAGTTGATTATGGTATGGATAAGTGAATTAATGTCTAATGAATAATTTAGATAACATTTCAGACCTTAAGAAAGACCCACAATAGCCATTTTTAACTCTAAAGAAAGACCAGCAAGAATCAAAATCCATACTTTCGGCTTATAGATATTCCATAAGATAATGGGGTTAACAAAATAGGTCTAAAGTGCGGTGTTGCACAATACATGACGGAAATACAGATAAGATTGCACGTACCAATCATAAGTCACAATTATTGGGCATCACAGTTCGTGAATTATTACACAATATTGCACCATATTTCCAATTTCTCGGATCGTTGTAGTATCACTCATCGTAATCTTGACTACTCATTCTAATTTCCGCTGACTTAGTATACAAATCACTGTTAATAAGAGAGAGAGAGAGAGAGAGAGAGATGGGGGGGGGGGGGGTAACAAACCGGGGAATCGAAAGCAGGTCAGTTGACTCAATGACAGACGCGCAATGTGAATTACTTACAATACTAGCTTTCAAACAAAATCCAAATTGCAAAACTGGACTCGATATTTGAAGATTTGATATTTACAATATTAGAAAATAAAATTAAAATTAAAAAAAAAAAAACCAAGATAGTTTGTGATATTTAGTGGATTTGAATACGTTTTGTGATAGATGAAATAATCGTAAAAATGGATAATGGACAATAAAATTGAATCGCTAATATCTAGGTTCAGAGTAAAGCGATTCGACTGACATTTTAAGCATATTCTCTTTTTATTATCTATGTTTTAACTATTATAGCGATAATTGTCACCTCTTTATCTAATCTTACCTAATCTGGCCAAGAAATCATCCTTTTATTAAAGATGTATTATTCAATAGCTAAATCTTCCTAATTTGGATGTCTGGGGGTCGGGTGTTCGATCCCTGCATTGGCCAAGAAAATTCATCCAGATTTTAAGGTCGGGTTCTCTCTTGTCAGTGTTACAGGAAAGAGGGCGCGACAAGAACAGCTGTCTAGTCATTCGAATGGGACGAAAACAGGGGTCCCACGTAAAAGATTCCTTGGCAGTTGGAATTCGGTATAAGAGTTGGCCGTCTATAGTGCCGCTGTCCAGGCAAAGTTTCCCTCATAGTACACTGTATGGCGTATTCCCGTCTTCATTAGCCCAGTTCGGAGCAGAACAGTAGGACGTTAAACCCCATTTCATTTCATTTCCTCTTTTCTTCGCATGACAAGACTATAATCTGGTCTCCTGACCGTCGGATTGCAGAGATTTGAATCGATTTAAATGCGATCGTCATTTAATGATTTAATTTAGAAATGGAGAAACACGGCTGAGATTCGATTAACAAGTAACATATTGCTACGGCAATAAACAATTATTTACCACATCTTGTCAACAACTTCAAACAGAATAGAAGTAAATTGAATGAAATTTTCAATATATTAATTTCGAATTATCTATTCTTGAACCATATAGCAAGAACGAACAGCTCTGTATGTAAATAATGTATTTTAAATCATTCAAACCTGTAATTAAATGGAATGATCTGTTTATTTCTAGGAGGACATATAATCTGACTAAATGCGTGCAGTCCACCTTTAAATCGTTTCGGTTGTACATGACTAGGAGTAGGGTCACCTGTCCAACCTCGTGGGTTTTCTCCGGGTCCTCCGGTTTCCTCCCACTGCTAAAGACCCCTACGCGCAAGCGAATTATTGAAATAAAATGAAACCATATGTTAGTCCCGAAATGACCTAGTTTGTGTCGAGTGGACGTTAAACCTCCCTCTCTCTCTCTCTCTCTCTCTCTCTCTCTCTCTCTCTCTCTCTTTAAATCGTTTGACACGTACTGTACACCACAGGCCAGCTCTTTGTCTCAATCTTAAATAATATATATTTAATATATTAATTATAGTACAAACTAGTCGACTTACAAGGTCAAGGATTCTCAACTTCTCACAAATTACCGGTCGATAATTTTTCAAGTGATTTTTAAATGAGTCCATGTAACACTTGCGATAATAGCTGTAAGTAGGTCCGTCCGTTTCTTGCATACGCTTTTGTCATCCAAATTCCTCACACTGCT